CATGAATAGTGAAGTTATGACTTTACGGCTCACGAAGAAGAAAATAAGATGGCGGGTTAATGGAAGAAAAGAAAGGTGTGGATAGGGGTGTCAATTTTGGGTAACGGGTCGGATTTGGGTTGAATTTGAAATTGAACCAATACTATTCAGGTCAATCTGAACCCGACCCGCTTCTTCTTCAAGCCAACGGTTAATCCGACACAACCCGAACAGCCTGGGATCATAAAAAAAATTTTAGTTTTAGGGTTAAAAAAAAACGGTTCAATCTTAAGATTTTTAGGTTAATATTGGGTTTTCGGATCAAAAATGGATTTTCAAGTCAACAAGCAACGGGTCAATTTCGGGTCCTAGGGTCAACTCGAACCCGACATGATTTTTGAAACGGGCGAATTGTTGAACCCAAACCTGACCCATTTTGGATTCAAGTTGACCCTAACCCAAAATTTTCGGGTCGGATTTGAATTATGTTTTCGGGTCGTATCAAATATTGAAAACCCTAAGTGGTTCACTGAAAGTGACAATGTTGTGCAGCATGGTATTTTTAATGACTTCTAGAAATTTTTTTTTTTTGTGGTATAGAAGTAAATATTCATTTTTTTTATATAAAATATAAAATCAATAAAGTTTTGAGTGCTATGTACGTAAATCTTCCTTTGTTGTTTATGAAAGAAATTATTAGATGCGGAGTCTAGATGTAGAGTTGTGTTTAGACTCCATGAAATATTCACATATGTTCAAAATATAGTTTTTTATATTACTGCATATTTGTTGAGTATTTACTGAGTAGTTATTACGTATTTGCTCAATATTTATATTTTAATTGTAAAATATTAATATATAGACTATTGCAAACGGATTAATTTTTAATATACAAAATTAATATATTTATTTCAACTTTATTATGTAGATGTTGGATACTTTACAAGTAGCACGTGAGAATCATAATATCAATAACCAGTAAAATGATGTTTGCCTTATGTCAAGCTATTTTTTAAATAATGGATTGTATTAAGCAACTCAAAATCAGCCCAATAATATATATTAAGCATTTAAAAAATAAAAATAAATAAACAATTTTTAGTAGTTTCTAAATTCAGCTTATTTGAATGAAGCTAATTTGAAATCAAATCAATTTAAGCCACAATTCTATTTCAAAACTGCTTATATAGGTTCGTCGGTTCAAAATTGAGGCTTCATTTGAGACGATTTTTTTACTGAAAGCCGTTTTAAAAAGCGGTAAAAAAACCGTCTGCATGAATCATTATGTTCCCTAACTTTAACCACCATTACGTGCTTTTAAATAAACATTAAGGTTTCATTTAGAACGATTTTCTTAGTGCTTTATAAAGCAGTTTTTTAGTAAATTTTTTTTTTTTTAAAAAAAAAAGTAGACTAATGTTGTCCCAAACTAAACCTAAACCTCCATCATCAAATTATCATCACACAATTATGCCTAACGCAAGACATGATCTAGTTCTAAGCAAACACATCATTATCACACTACAAGAAAACACGTCAATACCGTCGGATGTTCTGGCGGAATTTTTTGCGTTAGTAAATACGTTGTAAATTCAAGCATATATAGCGCCGGAATAATCTGGAAAAAAGACGGCGTTTTCTAACATATTTTGCGCCAGTAATGGGTCAGAACGTGCGCCGGAAAGATTTCTGACATCTAATATACGTCGGAAGACATTTTTCGACGAGCTCAAAACCAGCGCATGAAATTCCGGCGGAAATGCGTCAGAAACCATTTGACTGTTTACCGACGGATTCGGTCCACCGGTATTAACGGGTTTCTGTAGTGTCATCAAATTTGCTATTATATCAAAATATTGCTCATCATTTCAACAACAAAAAAAAATTCATATTGTTTGTATTAGACGATATATCAAGATCTGTACCTCACGTGCTTCTTATTTACATATTTACCTGTAACTTTTCTATTTATCTACCAAGCACTGTATCACTTTGATATAAATGGAATAATAATATTTTCTTCTTCCTCTTCGTTCTCTGGCTTCCCTCCACTCCGATCTCCCTGCTTCTCTCAATTCTTCCTCTTCTCTCTTGGTATCAGAGCCAATGGGAGACCTAGATACTAACGAAGCCTTCCCCGTTTCCTCCTCCTCCTCCGATCAAACTACAGATTCTTCCACCCCGAGCCACATTCCCCAGCCATTGAAGTTTCTTGTCTCCAACATCAAGAATCTTGCCCCTCACCCCCGTAACGACGGACAACTACTCCATTTGGCGTGTTCAACTTCTCCAGCAATTTACAGCAAATGGGTATGCCGGATATCTTACCGGTACAATCCCTGCTCCGCCACCTGCGCTACCTGGCGCCTCATTGACAGCAATTTGCTCTCAGCTCTTTTCTCCACCGTCTCTCCGTCCATTCTTCCGTATATCATCACGGCCACTTCCACCAACGAAGCCTGGACGATTCTTGAACGTCGCCTTCAACCGATCAGCCGCTCGAGGGTAATTCAACTCAAAAACGAGCTTTACCAGGTTCAAATGAAAGACATGCCGATGCAACAATACCTTACAAGAATCAAAACTATTGTGGACAATATCTCCACATCTGGCTCAAAAATCGACCCTGAATATGTGATGCTTCATATATTAAACGGCCTACCTCCCACCTTCAACTCGTTTAAATCTACAATTCGAAACTCACTCCTTCCGATTGACCTTGGCACCTTCTACTCTCTCCTATGCAACGAAGAAATTCACTTGCAACAAGAATTAATTCAAGATTCTAATCCACAATCAGCGGCCACGGATCTCTACGTTAATCCCTACTCTAACTATCGCGGTAGGAACAACACCAAAAGATTCAGCAAAATCAAGACCCCGCAGCCACCGACAGCACCTCAATTCAATCCAACCGCTCCGACCAACAATTCCCGGCCAATCTGCCAGATATGTGGCAAACCCGGCCACGTCGCACTGAACTGTTGGCATAGGTGCAATTTCAAATATGCACCAACGGACACAAGACAACCTCGAGCTCTTCTTTCCACCCCCACCTCTCCAGCCAGTCAGGACTGGGTTCTTGACACCGGGGCATCAGCTCATCTCACACCGGATGCCTCTCAGCTCTACTACCCGCAAGGATACCAAGGCTCCGACACGGTATCCACCGCAAATGGATCAACACTCCCGATTCATCATACAGGACAAGGACTGCTTCCTCTTCCGGACACGTCTCGTAAGATAATTCTTCGCAAAAGTCCTACATGTTCCGTCGCTTACTCATAATCTCATTTCCGTGTCTAAGCTAACGACTGAAAATTCCATTTCGATTACTTTCAATGCTAACGGCTTTCTTGTGAAGGATCTTCGGGACCAACAGCCCCTACTACATGGTCAACTTCGTAACGGCCTTTACAGTCTTCGCATTCCTCCGGACAACAGCCACACTGCTCTAACTTCGACCACCACCTCCCAGCACGATTGGCATTCCCGTCTCGGACACCCGAATAAGGATACCCTTTCTGTTCTTGCTCACCTTTATCCTGAAATTTCAAATGTATCTTCTTCTTTCATCTGTAATTCCTGTAATCAGGCGAAAAGCCACAAATTAAATTTCAATAAAAGCATTTCGGTTACTAAGGTTCCCTTTGAATTAATTCACACGGACGTCTGGGGTCCGATCTCGCAAGCTTCTCTCGACGGGTATCATTACTACATCATCTTCATCGATGACTATACGCGTTACACCTGGCTATACTTTCTCTACACAAAACATGAAGCTCTCTCTAAATTCAAAAACCTTTGTAACTTAATTCGCACTCAACACCACACCACCCCTCGAATTCTTCGCTCCGATGGCGGTGGTGAATTTACCAGCCATGCGTTTAAAAATTTTCTTCAAGATAATGGTATAATTCAGCAGCTATCATGCCCCCACACACCTGAGCAAAACGGTCTCGCTGAACGTAAGCATCGACACCTCCTCGATCTCACCCGTGCCTTACTTCACGAATCTGGACTCCCACATAAATTCTGGGCTGAAGCAATCGGTACAGCCAATTACTTAATCAATCAACTCCCATCTAAAGCCATCTCAAACCAAATCCCTTATCTAAGACTGCATGGAAACCCGCCGACCTATGCTCATCTACGGACCTTCGGTTGCCTATGTTATCCCTGGCTCAAACCTTATGCTCCGGATAAACTATTCCCACGCTCGCAGGCCTGTGCCTTCATCGGTTACTCTCACACACATAAAGGGTACCGATGTTACGATATTGAATCCGGCAAAATCTACACGTCAAGGCATGTGGTCTTTCACGAACGGCAGTTTCCTTTCAAGAACATCACTGCAAGGGACCCTCACTTGGTAAATTCTACACCTCTCATCGTGCCTCCCTCTCTGCTTATTCCCTTATCCATTTCCTCTCAGCACACGGTTGCCAACCCTGTTCAACAGCCTCTCAACGCTTCAGCCAACATCAACACAGCTTGCCTTCCAAATGATTCTCTAATCACTGACTTGGCTCCTGATACTCCTCAACACATTGACTCTATGTCCCCTGTTCCCATCCAGCGACCTTGCTACCCGATGACCACCCGCTTGAAATCGGGAATAAGCAAACCAATACAGATTCTCAACCTTCTTTCTCACACCACTCCCTCCGACACACCCACCACGTACAATCAAGCCTTAAAATCAGAACATTGGCGCAAAGCAATGGTTGCAGAATTCGACGCTCTTAAACAACAAGCAACTTGGTCCCTCGTCTCACCACCACCCAACAAACCGGTTCTTGGCTGCAAATGGACGTTTAAAACGAAACTTCTGCCCTCCGGACAAGTGGATCGATACAAGGCAAGGTTGGTTGCTCTTGGGTACAATCAACAATTCGGCATCAATTACAACGAAACTTTCAGCCCCGTCGCCAAGATGTCAACGATTCGTCTTCTGATTACACTTGCTTTAAACCGTCACTGGCCAAGGCAAGGTTGGTGAGCTCACGGATGAAGTCTACATGCGGCAGCCCGCCGGGTTCGTCGATCCTCAAAATCCAACCGCAGTTTGCAAACTACATAAATCACTATACGGATTAAAGCAGGCGCCCCGGCAATGGTTTCAAAAGCTTACAAGCTTTCTTCAAACCCAAGGCTTTACGTTCAGCCGATCGGATCCTTCACTCCTAATTCTTAACACTGACCAAACTCAACTCTATATTCTTATTTATGTGGACGATTTCTTAGTCACAGGGAATAATGCCGCAGCAATCCAACGTCTTCTTCAACAGCAGAAAACTCAATTTGCTCTCAAACAACTAGGAAACGTCTCCCTCTTTCTTGGCATTCAAGTGATTCAATCCAAAACAGGTCTTTTTCTTTCTCAACAACATTATGCCACTAAAATTCTTCATGATGCAGGCTTCAAGGATTGCAAGCCTGCTCCCACGCCAGTCACCCCGTCCAGCAAGGCTCAACTCACGGTCATCCCACCGTTCTCTGACCCCTCCCTCTACCAACGGCTAGCTGGATCGCTACAATACTTGTCAATTACGCGGCCGGACATTGCCTATGCGACAAACCGGATTTGTCAACATATGCAGAATCCAACAGAACAGGACTTCAACGCACTCAAACGACTTCTCCGCTACATCAACGGCACATTATCATACGGTCTACCCATCACCATTGGCAACTTGGATCTTCATTCCTACTCGGATGCAGATTGGGCTTCCGATGCCTCGGATCGGAAATCCATCTCGGGATTTTGCACTTTCCTTGGACCAAATCTAATTTCCTGGACCGTGAAAAAGCAACCCACGGTAGCCAAGTCGTCCACCGAAGCCGAATACCGCTCGCTCTCTGTCGCTGCCTCGGAAGTCTTATGGTTACGACGGCTTGCACGGGAGCTTCATCTACCTCAACCGTCACCCACTACTACTATCCACTGCGACAACACATCCGCGATTGCTATCGCCAAAAATCTCGTCTTCCATGCGCGAACAAAGCATATCGAGATCGACTAACACTTCATTCGCCAACAAATTAGTGCCGGTGAGATCAAGCTCGCACACATCTCCTCCAAGGATCAAGTGGCAGACATTCTCACCAAACCCTTCACCATATCTCGGTTCAACGAACTCAGAAGCAAATTAACCATTCACTCCATGAATGATTAATTTGAGGGACCCTATTAGACGATATATCAAGATCTGTACCTCATGTGCTTCTTATTTACATCTTTACCTGTAACTTTTCTATTTGTCTACCAAGCACTGTATCACTTTGATATAAATGGAATAATAATATTTTCTTCTTCCTCTTCGTTCTCTGGCTTCGCTCCACTCCAATCTCCCTGCTTCTCTCAATTCTTCCTCTTCTCTCAGTTTGCTTTGGGAATAAGAATTTTTTTCACTTTGTATTCAATTCATGAAAAATAATCAAAAGCCCTAAAACATAAAAGCCATTTTTTTAGACTTTTAAAAGATAAATTCATACACACATCAAATACATAAATTTAGAATATAAATTTCATCAAGAATATACAAACTTCAAAAATCTATGCATATGAAGTATGAACTTTCAAACAATATTTCATCACCTTTTTAAAACTTCGATTGGGATGACTTTCTTATTGATTCTTAAAACAGCTTTTTAGTATAACAAATAAAAAATTTTATACTAAAAAGTTGCTTTAAGAAGCAGTAAGAAAGTCGTCTCAAACGAAGACTAAGGGTTCGTTTGGGACTGTTTTCTTACTGTTTCTCAAAATAACTTTCGAGTATAAAAAATTAATTTTTGTACTAGAAAATTATTTTAAGAAACAATAAGAAGTCATCTCAAATTGGAAATAAATCTTAAAATTTTTATATCTACTTTAAAAGTATTATAATATTATTTATTTATATATTACACTTATTTTGAAACTAATTAAAAAAAATCTTTGAATTTAATATATTTCTAGATAGTTCTAAAATTTATTCTGATAGTTTATATAGGATCCTTTGATTTTTAAGTATTATTTGTTTAGCATAGTAGGAAGGCAAGAGCTTTGTATTTTTAATTTTTTTTCATCAGATAAAAATGAATGCAAAATAATTTATTGATATGTTTAAAATTTACTATTTAGTCCATATTGTGTATTTCAAATGATACAACTAAGGTGATTTTGGAATACAATATATCAACTTCACCATCCGCCATCATGGAGGGATGTCAATATTTGATTTAACATGAAAATCTGATTGGAACCCGATCCCAAAATTTTGGGTTAGACCCGACCCTATTTTAAAAGGGGTCGGGCTCGAATTGACTCGGAAACCCAAAATTAACTTGGTTGCGATCCGTTTGAAAATAAACTCTAGTCACGTATGTACCGTCAGCACTATTGATTTGCGTGTGTTCGTTAGCCCGCCATCCCGTTCGCATTGTCGAGTGTCGAGTCGCATACGTTTGTCAGCCCACCATCCCATCCGCCTCTGCCAGCGCTGAGAGCATTGTCGACTTCCAGTTGCCACTCCGTGCCACTGGTCGACGCCAACCTCGCCGTTCGGCTGTCCCGCAAGACTGGTCGACGTGAGCCCCATCGTCTCGCTATCCGCACATAAGGAGCCCCGAAACCGTGTAGGGTTGGGTCAACTTGGTAACCCGACAGTCAACCCGTTTGAACTCGGGTCAATTTCAAGTTCGACCCAAACACGACACAAAAAATTGATTTTGATACCCCTACCATCAGTCATCAGCCGTTCACCATTGTCGGGCACCTATCATTTACCACCCACCGATGTCATAAAAAAAAATCATCCATAAAAATAAAAAAAATATGAAGTTATATCACAAAAATTTATGTTTAAAAAATCAATCTGTTGAATTTATTCTACAAGTAATTATGCATCATAAAATATTTAAAATATAATAATTTTTTTTTAATTGTACTTAAAATGCACGAATACTTACAAGTTACAACCACATGAATGCAAAATTTTCTTGGTAATAATTGAAGCCTAACCACAGCCTCTTTGCACACTCGCTTCTTCTCTAAGGATGGCACAAAAGCCAAAGGGTCGCAGGTGAGATATGGCTTTTCTCTTTAACTTTTTCCACTTGCTTTTAATGACATAAAAGAAAAGTCAATCCATTAAGTCCTAATGCCTCAAAAATGCTCCAGAATGTACGAGAACTTTGGTCTAATGCCAATCTTTAATATAGAGGTAGTACTATGGACGGTGCTAGCTAGTGCTCAAAAGTTAACTCCAATATTAAAAAAAAAAAATATTACGTGCAGAGTTTTTGTGATTTTGAATAATAAAAACACAGTAAAATATAATTACTATTCAATATTATGCTTTTATCATTCACAGTCACAAAACAGAATTGTTCTTTATACATGAATTTCGCATGTATAATCATCACTTTGTCAACAAGTAGTATTAAACATTTCAATTAGAATTAGATAAACTTTACATAATATGTTAACTATAATTGTGTTTGAGTCTATTTGAATTAGATTTTATTTGGCACAACTTTATTATTATTTCATTTTTTCAAATTGCAATCACATTTTTTATTTGACGTTATAATTTTTTTAACTGTTTTAATAAATTTTGTATTAGAAAGCTATTTCTTAAAACAGTTTAAGAAAATTAATTTCTCCATAACAGCTTTACGATCGTATTTATAAAAAGTTATTGTTATCTCAAATAGATCTTTAGTCATATTTGAATTAAAAAAATGATGAGAAGAGCATTGAATATATGTTATTTTTTAGTTGTTAGAATTTAATTATTTAATTATTTACTTAAAACACAATTATAAGTAATTTTGATTCAGATGAGCTTAAGAAATTGATATGTATTATATTTAAATGGGAAGAAATTATATGATTATATTTGCAGAATATTTGGCATGAAATGTATGTCAAAATAATAAAAAAATTAAGATAGCTCTGAGGTGATCGGGAGAATAAATATAATTAAAAAATTGGCATGTTCAAAATTTTTAAATATTTTCCGAATAAAATTTAGATCAATATATTCTCTTTAGAGAGAGAGAGATTTTTAATAATTAAGTTTACCTGGCAATACCAACTCGTGAGCTTTAATTTAATATTATTTTAATTAATTAATCCATTATTGCAGGGGGCTGCCAAGTTTAGGATCCAGATTTATAGCTATACAATTGAGGTGATGATGTGGTCATTTTGTAGCCATATATCTAAATCAAGTATAAGAAAATAAATATTATATAATTAATTCGATAATTACTCGGTTGTTGCTATATATATGATGCTATAATATTCCAACTATACATAAGCATCATTATAGATAAGTCACTAAATATCATCTTGATCATACGCGAATTTTGATGCACATCTGAATTGAAAACTTTGGAACTTAAATATGGGATCATCCGAACTTTGATTTCAGATAATTTATATTCAAATTGAACGTTTTGATGAGACAAACCCTTCAATCCAAGACCAAATGAACCCAACTGAAGGTAACAAAGCATATTTAGAAGTTTCAAAGCATTAATTGAACAACCCAATAACATTCAAATATGACATGTTATAGTAAAATCAAACAGCTTGATAAGACGAATCCAACGAGAGCAAGATCACTTAATTCTAACATTATTAAAATACTTAAATATTTGATGAATTCTCTATAATTGAGGGATTCAATATGAACTGTTTGATGGAGCACTTTGAATTTACTCTACATCTTCTCTATATTTACTGATCATGTCACTCCCAAAAATTTATAACTAGACCCTCATTCTTCACATGAAGGAAGACGAAGCATAGAGAGAATTAGAGAAAACTCTCTTGCATTTTCCAGCCCTAGTTGTGATGATGACCACTATCAATTAACGTCAACAACCACGATGGCCACCAACAATCAGCATAAGAAATCATCACCATCTTTAGTATATTGACAAGATTTAACCTAATTGTTGGGTATAAATGTTCACCTTTGGACCCTATTATTTGCTATTAGCTGTTCATTTACAGATACTTAACTTTTGTACTCTCATTCTTCTACAATGAAAAAAATGAAGATCTTCATATCACTTACTACAAATTACCACGTAAATAATTCTTCTGGCCTCGATACTTTTATTTATACATGCTAAATTTTTATACAATATTAAGACGTAAATCACACACTTTATCAATTTAAATTTTATAGCGTAAAATTATTTAATTTATTTAGTATGATCAAATTAAATTAATTTATGAAATGCAAAACTGGACTCCACCTACCATTATGCCTCAGGACTTGCCCAACCTTTAACGTGGCGTTCCTTAAGTGAAGAGCAACCGGTTTTTTATTTCTTTGCTCGATTGTTGAATTCATTACAGCCTAAACCAACCTCCAAAGTAGGTAGCAAAGAGGCAGATACCTATTTAAAGGCATCTAATTTAATTTATTTCGAATATATACATAAAATTAAGGCTTCATTTGAGATATTATTTCTATTTTTCACATTGTAATTATAAGTATTATTTGACTAATATTTTTTGTTACTTTTAAAATAAAAATATTCTCTCTATAAAAACTGCATAAAATAATACGAAAACCTTAAAGAAAAAATCTAAATCAAAATATATAATAATGTTAGTTAGCTAACAATACAATTCAGATAACATTTGTAAGTCAAATTTCACTATAATCCAAATAGTCCCATAAATTGAAGAGATTATTACGTGCAGAGTCCAAACACATAGAAACATTATGTATTATGACTGTGAATAGTAAAAATACAGTGATGAACAATAACTGCATTTTTACTAATTCTCTATGTCTGAACTCCGTAAATAATATTCTCTCCTTAAATTGCCCTTGTAGAGCACACCATAAAACCATATTACCTACTCCAAAATTCAATGACCACTGCCACAATCACATCACCTTTCCACTCAGACAGCCAAGCACCAAGACAAAAGCATATCAGCCAAAGTTTTGCTTCATTTAGACCTTTCTTCATCATTACATAAAAGAATGAAGTCCTCACCTTCTAAACTGGAACCAAATTCTTTACAAGCATTCAATAGATTCTGATACACAGGGTGAGGTCGAGCACTCTCAGAGATGATGCTCCTCAGCTCACATAACAGCTTAGTTAAAGTTTTACTACTGATGTGATGAATTTTGCTCTTCAGTAAATTTAGCCATGACTTCTCAGAGTAGGCTTGGATTTCCATGTCCTGATGGATGGTGATGAAAGAAACAGCAGACGCAGGTTCATCTTCCTCCAGCTTCATGGAGAAGAGTTCCTTGACGATAGCTGCCGGTGGGGCGCGGCCATTATCAGTCAAGTGATCCCATGTAATCTCCAATATGTTCTTCTGAAAGATTAATAATATGAAATAGAAAAGAATTAATAATGCTCTGCCTAATACGTTTTGATGGCAAAAGTTAACTCTCATTTTCAATGTGCAAAATTTATCCAATAGCGTTAGTTAACTAACGCTTTCATTTGGAACGGCTTTCTTTCTGTTTCTTAAAGCAATTTTCAAGTACAAGAATTTGTTTTAAAAATAGAAAGAAAGCAGTCCCAAACGAAACCTAAATTTATCAGTTACTGACAAAATTTAGATTGTAATCAATGACTTGAATGGTAAGATACATGAGCAGAACTAAGCGGCTTCATTATATTGTTTGATAATCTCTATTTTTTAGATGGTTGATAGATGCATAATCTACAAGTAATTTTCATATTAACGAATTGAATTAATGATGTGATCTTGAATTTGAAGACCCTATAAAATGGTGTATGTTTGTATGTACAACTTCATAAACTCCTTAAAATCAATGATAGATTAAACTTAATTAAATTTCTTAGTTCCTTAAGCATCCATAAAAAAAAAATAGTATGATCGGAAAATATATAAAATTCCACTTGATGCAATCTAAGTATAAGCAACAATGCATTTATTTAATTTTAATTCGTTTTAAAGACTATAAACATTGAGATTACATAATTTTCTTCTAATGCAATTAGGTCCATTAGTTGAAAAGAAAAAAAAAAGATTGTTGGAGCAATCCATATTCGTGATACAACTGGGTTTTGTTGGAATAAATTCTTGTGTTTATTTTATTTTTTGTTCCTGCTATTACTCAAATTTCCCTACTAAACAAAAATGGAATTAATGAGGGCTATACGGACTCGAACCGTAGACCTTCTCGTTAAAACAAATAAAAATGATTATTATTGAAATGATTTGAACTGCTTCAAAGACCCAACATGCATTTTGTTGCATTGGGCTCTATCATCAATTGATGTAAAGAACAGTTAGTCAACCATATTTTTTCTTTAGAGGAAGATAAGATGATAATGAGATGGCTCCATGGATCCTGATCTAGTAGAGAAAGAGGAAGAAAGCCATGTAGAAATAACTTTTGAAATAAAGGAAACTAAATAGGAACAAGAGGGATCCACTATAAAAAACCTTCGTTTTTTCGGAAGAAATGGAGGATCTAGCCAAAATAGATGAAACGGAAGAGATTCGAGTTAATGGAAAGGAAAAAATAAAGGATGAATTTTTCTTTAAAGAGGCACGCTATCAAGATCAAGATTGTTAATGCATCTACCTGATAATCAAATGACCCAAAAAAAAAATCATGTCACTAACTTTAATAATGTTATAGTTAAAATGAAACAATTCAATCTTTCATTTGAAGATTATATGATAAACATCTAAATGGGAGGAGACCCAAAATATAATAGAACTAGAAATTTATGAATGTTATGTTTTGTTCTGTTTACAGCTTAATATGAAATAAAGAATGTTTGATATCCAAAATGCAATTATTATTATTATTATTTTTTATTTACAATGGCATAAGGAGGTGATGGGGGGCGGCAATAATGGTGTTTGGTAGCGGCAAGGGATGATTTGGGTGGTTTTTATTTTAAAAAATTAAAACAAATAAAAACGACCTAAATTTTGTTTTGAGTGTTTTCCAAAAGCATCTTGATTTATTTAAAAAAAAAAACAAAAAAACAAAAAATACAAACCAAACATATTTTTCAATGAAAAAAAAATGATCCAGCCCCTTATTAAATGAAGAACAGCCAAAAAAAAAATCTCAATTCTGAAATCACGTAACTTCAAACCAAAAGATTTAGAACGCTCTCGCTAAAAACCTGTAAATATCCAGTGAATATTAGATTCAGGCTTCGTAGCTTCCTTCAGGAAGGTGTGAAATTTCGTGAAATTAAGAAACTAGCAAAAACCAGAAGTTAAGTGATGAGGACATCAGATTTCGACACGTGTACCATTTTTAACCGCGGATCGACGGCGACGATTCAGAGCCTCTACTTCTAATTTATTTGCATTTTATTTTATGATTGTATTGTTCTGTTTTCCTAGTTCGCCCCTGTGGGCATTGAGTCGCTTATGTAGCCTGGAAGGGCATTTATGTCTTTTTTTTTCCTTTCATTTTGGCCTATTTATATGAGGCCTCATGCATTGTATGGGGGATGATTTATTGATAATGAAAATTTTATTTTCTTGTTGATCTCTTAGTGAGTTCAGAAGGATCTCTTTGTGAGTTCCGAGATTCTCAAGATCTCTTTGTGAGTTCTTGAGAAGAGTTTCGGGGATCTCTATGTGAGTTCCGACATCCCTACAATCTCCTTTGAGATCTTGAAGAAGAGGTGCGCGAGGTTAGGAAATTCCATTTTTTTTTTTACTGTTTCAATTTGTGTATTAAAAAACTACTTTAAGAAGCAGAAAGAAAGTTGCTTTAAGAAGCAGAAAGAAAGCAGTCCCAAATGAAGCCTAAATATATCGGTTACTGATAATATTTAGGTTTCATTTGGGACGGTTTTCTTACTGCTGCTTAAAGTAGCTTTTTAGTATAAAAATTTTATTTGTTGTACTATAAAGCTACTTTAAGAAACAATAAGAAATCCATCCCAAACGAAGTGTTAGATTGTAATCAATGACTTGAATGGAAAGATACATGAGCAGAACTAAGCGGCTTCAATATATTGTTTGATAATCTCTATTTTTTACATGGTTGATAGATGCATAATCTACAAGTAATTTTCATATTAACGAATTGAATTAATGATGTGATCTTGAATTTGAAGACCCTATAAAATGGTGTATGTACTACTTCATAAGCTCCTTAAAATCAATGATAGATTAAACTTAATTAAATTTCTTAGTTCTTTAAGCATCCATCAAAAAAATAGTATGATCGGAAAATATGTAAAATTCCACTTGATGCAATCTAAATATAAGCAACAATGCATTTATTTAATTTCAATTCATTTTAAAGACAATAAACATTGAGATTACATAATTTTCTTCTAATGCAATTAGGTCCATTAGTTGAAAAGAAAAGAAAAAAAAAAGATCGTTGGAGCAATCCATATGGGTTTGTTGGAATAAATTATTGTGTTTATTTTTTTTGTTCCTACTACTACTCAAATTTCTCTACTAAACAAAAATGGAATGTATTAGGACTATACGGACTCGAAGCATAGACCTTCTCGGTAAAACAAAGAAAAATGGTTATTATCGAAATGATTTAGAACGCTCTAGCTAAAAACCTGTAAATATCCAGTGAATATTTGATTCAGACTTCGTAGCTTCCATCAGGAAGGTGTGCAATTTCGTGAAACTAAGAAACTAGCAAGAACCAGAAGTTAAGATATGCATTGAAAGATAATATTACCTTTCCAGCACGCCAAGCATCAAAAACCAGACGCATATGTCTTCTTTCATCGAAGTGATAGCCATGGTGTAGCATTTCTCGATAGGAATTCTCAAAATCATCCCACTTACTTGCTGCAGCACATGCCTCCATCATCGTATTGAACGTAAATTTATCTGGAAAAACCTTCCGACTGTACTCATCTTTTATATATATCTCATGGCTACCAGACAATATATTCTGAAAAAGAACCTTTGCTTCTTCAAACATTCCATGCTCTACATATGACTTCAGCATGATATTGAAGGTGATTACATTTGGTGAACAGAAACCATTCATTTGATTGAAAATGTATGTAGCATTCTCAATACTTCCCGAATCAAGACAAGCTTGAATAAGACCGGTGTATGTCACCACCAAAGGCTTTTTTGCAACCTTAGATATCTTGTTTATCTGTTAAAAGAACTTTGGCTTAAATTAAAGTTCTTCTTTGCAACATTAGATTCATTAAATCCTTCATCAGAAAAATAAAAAATCAACTGCATGTAAAGGTTATGATTATCAGATGCAGAATTCCCTTGGTTATCCAAAATGAGCACACCAAGCATGGGAGCACAGAAACAGGAGGAAAAAAGGGAGGCAAAGGAGGTTGATATAGCTAAAAAAGGCATGTAATTAATTTATGAAATGCAAAGGAGGTTGATATTGCGATAAAATATGTTAATTAGTTATGCATTCATCAATTAATGTAATTAATTTATGAATCTATAAAATATTAGGATATTAAATTTGTTTTATGATTTTTAATTAAATTCAGTCTCACATTAGTTTTTATCAAATAATTTCAGCCTTTGACAACAATTTTAGCAATAATTTCACCAAAATCATTTCATTTTACTCAGAAGGCACAGTATACTATGAAACAGCATTGACAAACATTGCTTACATATGACTTTAAAAGCGCAAACCTGATACAGAGCTTCTTCACATCTTCCTGCACTGCAGAGACAGCGAGCAAGGTCATAATAGAGACTGGCAGAACCAACTATTCCACGTCTTTCCATATCCTTTACTGCTTGTACAGCTTCTTCAACATTGCCTTCTCTCCATAAAGTATTTACGAGAACTGAAAATAAGTGCATTGTCAATGACAGAATTTTAGATGTAAGAGCATTTTATATTAGTCTCATACCTTTGTAATTTAAGGCAGCTGGAATGGAGTTCTTTTGCAATTTCCTAAAAAACTCATGAACCAAGTTGTACTTGCTACATGCAAGCATCACCTGTTGAGAATAATTGGTTGATATAACTCCTTAAGCAAATGGAATCGTATTATATTGAATGTTCTAAAAGCTTCTATAATATGTATGCCCAAGAAAGAAACGAGAAGAGTTGCTTAAAGTTACATGATAATTAAATTAAGGAAAACTTGTATACTGACGATGGTTAGTTTTTTTTTAGTTCAATAAGTATGCTCTACAAATGACGAAATATGTTCCACAAATGTAGAAAACAAAATATAATAAAAGAACTTAGTAGAATTAGCTTCTTTCAACTTACTAGATAACATTGCAATTAAGCTAAAATAGACTTCTGCTTTAAAATGAATGAATAAATGGACAATTGTAGATATTGCAATTGCCTTGGTCAAAACAAAATTAAGTATGAACATCATCTAAAAGGAATTACTAAAAGTTTAAAGCGTTGATGACTTCTCTAAAAGTTTAAAGCGTTGATGACTTCTTTAAAAGTTTTTGTCAACTGAACCTCATTTTAAAGATATCGGAAAGTATATTGAATTTTTCCGGTAAATCCAAGCTCCATCCCTTCTACTGCTTAAATAGGAAAACCATTTGACTATAGAAACTTTTCAATCTAGTGAGAAGCCCTACCAACCAAACACATTCGTGGTTAGTGTTGATCATAATTAATTAAGCGAGTTCAAGTCATTAATTCGTGCCACCGGTAACTGTATTTTCATTGTAACAAAGGGGAAATGGATGAGTAGATTTTTTTGGAACAAAGTACTACTGAAAGATCTGAATCCAAAAAAATGCTGCAAATTTTGGAAATGCAGATAGTTTTAAAATAGGCCACAAAACTCCTCTTTGCGCAAGTACTATAAAAAGTATGTGTTGAGAGAGAGAGATTTTACATAGAATATTAATAGAGACCAGGTGCCTATAAAGTGGCATATGATAGGAAAACAAGAGAGAAATAAATTAATAGTATATTATCCTCAATAAAGAGGTTATAAAAACATCTCTCTCAATCTAGTTCTGTGCATATAAACGCGTATCTCTTAATCTAGTACTGCATAGTCGTGTCAATAAAAACATCTCTCAATATGATACTGTGCGTATAAAATCATCTACAAATCTAGCACTTCGCATCTATAAACATCTCTCTTTCATATAATCCTCACCATTTCACACATAAAATTTACCATAATCTTGTCTTTAGCTTAGGGGTATCAATAAACGACTCAACACGGCAGCCTAACATAAACTCAACTAGAAAAATTTGAGTTTTAATTGACCCAATTACTATTCAAATAAGGTTCAGATAACCTAACCCGAAAGTAACCTAAAATTAACCTTGAAATGTGATGCCCTAACTTTCTAGCAAATCCCTAATCTCTTGTTCCTGAGTCCCAACTTCTCCTCTTCCACTTTTCTTCCTTTGTGGCACTTCATCTTTTTTCCTCTCCTGTGAGCAGATAGCAATCCATCCTAGTTTTGCCTCTTTATTGATCTCTCACTGCATTAGGAAGTAGGAGCCAACCACGGGTCCATCAAGTCATATGGCCAGATCGTCGTTGCAGGCAACACTTGCTCAAACCTCCCAATCCTCCACTTCTCACTGAATCCTCGTTTGCCTTCATCTCTTCTTTGTTCGGTTTCTAATTCTTGAAGAAACAACATTGTTTTGGATTCTATACTCTTCATCTTCCCCTTTTCTGATACCACTTGACGCTAAAATAGTTAGTAATCTGCTTATGTTTCTATAATTCCTTTATGATAGTCCATTGGAGCCATTCTAATCACCTTCCTTTGCTTATGTTTTGGTTGTGCTAAAACTTTGCTTGAAACGTTTGTGCTGCATTGCCCTGTATATATAATTTTTTATTGATTTATTAGAAGGTGCATTGGTCGGCACTTGTACAATAGCTCATGTGAACACATTCTAAATGCTTTGTAATTTTAAGACATCATTAGAATAGAGGACTTTATTATGTTTAAATGACAATATAATCATGTCCTATATGAACTAGCTCTAAATCCAAACTGAATTGTGCTTTGAAAAAAAAATCCTAATTTAAAATACCTGCTCTAAATCTAGATGCATTGCTTTTTCATATGATTTGGATGAAAAGTGCTAATAGTTTCCTTTTGATTATTAAAATATTAATAATACAATGTTTTTTTGTCAACTTGCTATATTTTATTTTAGTTGATATCCGAAATAGCTAAAGTTTGAATATTATAAATAGTATAGCTATAAATCAAGTGGTGCATTGTTATGCTTCTTGATCTACATCTAGAAGGGGAAGTCTGAGTAGGTTTGAGTGAAATCTGGCAAGGCTAGGACCGGCACCGTAGTCATCGCCTTCTTCAAGCTCTCAAATGCTGATGTGGCCGCCTCCCCCCATAGGAACCCATCCTTCTTCAACTGTTCAGTGAGTGATCATGCTATGGAACTGTACTCCTTAACGAACCTCCTGTAGTAACCCGTCAGTCCTAGGAATCCCCTTAAGTCCTTCAGATTTTTCGGCATTGGCCACCTTAGCATTGCTTCAATTTTGGACTGATCTGCTGACACTCCTTTTGATACCACATGACCCAAGTACTCTACACTGGCTTGTGCAAAGCGGCATTTCTTCAAATTAGCCCTCAATTGATGCTCCTGCAGTACCTCTAACACCCTTTTCAAATGCTCCCAGTTCTCCTCCTCTGTTCTGCTATAGACCAGGATGTCGTCAAAGAATACCAGTACAAATCGTCTGAGATAAGGTTTGAAAACCTTATTCATAAGGGTCTGGAAAGGAGCTGGAGCATTGGTGAGGTCAAATGGCATCACCAGGAACTCATAATATCCTTCATGAGTTTTTAAAGGCCATCTTGGGTACATCCTCCTTCATTCAGATCTAATGGTAACCTGATTTCAAGTCTATCTTGCTGAAGATCACGGTCCCACTCAATTCATCTAACAGCTCGTCAATGACTGGTATAGGAAACTTGTAAGGTACAGTTTCTTTGTTGAGTGCTCTTTAGTCCACACAAAAACGCCACCTGTCATCCTTCTTTTTCACCAACAGAACGGGGCTAGAGAATGGACTGATGCTAGGTCTGATGATCTCTGCCTCCAGCATCTCTCTAATCAACCATTCTATTTCATCCTTTTGGAACCGAGGGTAGCGATAAGGCCGAACACTGATGGGTGACACTCCCTCCATCACGATGGCATGCTCCTGCTCCCTTTGCAGTGGCAATTCCTAAGGTGGCTGAAACACCTCTTGGAACTGCTGAATCAACGGCTGAATGGAGAAGGGTATGTCTCCTCCCTCCTCCAATTTCGCTCCCTCCAAACTGTGCAGCTCCACCAAATACCCTCCGCCTACCAACTGAATGTCCCTCACCATAGTCTTAAGAGAAATTAGGGATTTGGAAAGCCCCGCATTTCCCTTAATCACTACCTCCTTCCACCATCCCCCGTCAATTCCATCGTGAGTGCTCCCTAATTCACTTTGGTGTCTCCCAAAGTTTGCAACCACTTCATCCCAAGGATGACGTCTGTGCTCCTAAGCTCTAGTGAAAGAAAGTCTTCCCTCACCTGTATCCCCTGGATCGTCAGTCGCACTCCTCTACAAATCCCCTGGCCTTTCTCCACCTTCCCCGTACCCATCATCACTCTGTAACAGCCGCTGTCCACTAATCTCACTCCCAGTTGGTCGACGACCTGGGTGGAAATGAAATTGTGAGTAGCACCACTATCAATCAGCACCACCACCTCCCCGTCCTCTATCTCTTCCTTCACCTTTCATGATGTGATTCATGGTGAATCCCACCATTGAGTTCAGGAAAACCAAAGCCAGATCCAAGTGTAGCTTCTCCTCCATATCCGCCTGTCTCCTCCTCACCTCCCTCCTCAGTTTCCTCGTCATCACAGACGGTGAGAACCTGAAGAGTTCGGTCCTTGCACCTATGCCCTGGCGTGTACTTTTCATCGCACCTGAAGCACAACCCTTTAGCTCTCTTCTACTGCATCTCTTTCTCCTTCAGTCGTTTGAAATTTCCCCCGCTTCCACCTCTTGTCTTCTCCTTGGTGGCCTCTCGACTCCCTCCTGTTGCCGGACCTTTAGGTGCCAAATGAGTGGTCGTCATACTGTACGTGCCCCCGGTGCTGCTACTCCTGTCTCCCCTCTCCAAATTCCTTTGATTTTCCACCAATTGGGCCAACTTCATGGTCTCCCCCAAATTATGGGGCATCAAAACCTTCACCGCTGCTCGGATCTCTGCCTTCAATCCTTTCATGAAATTTCCCTCCAATATTGTATCTGAGAGTCACTCCACCCTGCTAGCTAGGTGCTCAAACTGCTCCCGGTAATCTGCTAGACTATTACTAATCCGTCCTGTGTCAGAGCAAAGAACTGCTCATAGAAGTCTCCTCCCCGATCGATTTGGAAACGATCTATTATGCAGTCTTTGAATTCCTTCAAGTTCCTGATCGGCCTTCTCTGTTCTCTCCACTGAAACCACGACAGAGCCTTCCCTTCCAAGCACAATCCTGCTACTATCAGCTTCTCCTCCTCCGTTAACCCATTGACGGCGAAGTACCGCTCTACCTTGTAAATCCACCCATACGCATCTTTTCCTTCAAATATGGGCATCTTCAACTTCCTCACCTTCTGGTCTCCACCATTTCCCCTGATTCTTCCATAACTTCCCCTTTCCCAAGTGTTAGGTCCACCCCATGTTTCCCCATATTCCCTTGCTCTGCCATAGCCCAAACTCCCCTCAAAATCCCCCATTCTTTCTTCAAAATCAGCACCTCGGTGGCCATAGTATCCCTCCTGACGTTCCCCATATCCTCATCTTTCTTCCCTCTGGACAAGCTCCAGATGGGGTCTTCTTCCTTCTCCTTCCACGATCTATACCACATCTTCCTCCCTACGGATTTCAGAGTTCTTACTTTTTTCGTCCATCCCTTTTGCCACTGAATCCTCTGTTTGATTTTGAATTTCTAACATTTTCTTCATCATATCTCGAAGGTCGGCGACTTGTCCCTTCATGGATGAAATCATTTCCTCCACCGTCGTTTTGATTTGATTCATCTCCCCTTCAAGTCTTTCCTCCAAAGCATCCACTTTTTTGGCCGCCATCAAAATTCGAAGTTTGTAGATTCACAAAAATAGGATTTTGGAGACAAAAACAACTTCTTCCTCTTTGGAACGAAAAACTGCTGCTGGAATCAGTCAAAAACAGCCCTCCACCGGTCCCGAGACTTACTCTGATACCAATTTGATAGGAAATACTTGAGTTCGCAAGTAACCCTAAGGGTATACTTGAGTTCGCAAGCAAACCTATCACTAATTGGAGGAAAACAGCGAGAAATAAGCAAAATATGGGCGAAATCAGCCCTAAAACGATAGATTGCAATAAGGGAAGCAAAGCAAAACCAACACGAAAGCAAGATACAAGTGATCCTCAATTCGAGGGGAGGATCGTCTCTCCCAAATCTCTAGACAAGAAAGTCTAGAGCCCAAACGCCAAGAAACCCTAATTCTCAATCAATCAAAACATGAAAACTCCCAATCCCCCTCATCCTCTTGAATACAAAATATTTCCTAATCAATTTTCCCTCCCCAGCCTAAACCGCCCCCTCCATTTGAAATTCAAATCAAGAGGAGTGGGATCCGCTTGTTTGGGCGGCGGACACAGTAAAGGAGGCGGAAGAAGTCCCCCTCATATAAACAAGTGGAGCCGGCTCCCCTTGGGCCGGCTGGACCGGTTCCCTATGAACCGGTGTAACAGTTTCCACAAATGATCATATTAATATTCAATAAAAGATGTAATTCAATCATCAAATAGTAGTATTATTAAAGTATTAAACAATGAAATAGAAGGAGAGAAATCTGCACAAACTGAATTACCTCCATGATGAGGCCGTAAGTTGTACTTGAAGGTCTGATACCCTGCACATTTAATTCCTGCAAAACCCAAAATGCCCCTTCCCATTGCTTTTGTTGAACGCAAGCATTTAAAACCTGCATTGTAAAAGATACTCTGGCATTACTTGCTGGAAAGTAATTTTAAAGATAACTTTCATGGTTAAATGTATAAAATCTACAAAAAAAGCTTCAAACAATTTTATTATTTGAGCTAGGCTGGTCACCGCATTGTACACAACAAGATCTGGTTGAAGACGAGGATCCCACTTTTGTAGCGGACCCAAGTCAAACTTCTTCTCAGGTGCAGCTCTCATGCAATCAATGACATCAAATAGTTCTTTCATAAGACCAGCTTGCCCGAGAGTAACAGCAATACAATGATATGCTGCAAGGTCAGGATAGGAAGATAATTGTTGCTGCATGTGATTGAAATCTAATTAATAAAATAATTGGAAAAGAAAAACTTACAAATAAACCAAGCATTGACCAATGATGATGAAATTCATTACCCGCATGGCATAAAATATGTTCAGCGCCTCCATAGGCCTCTTTGCCTTTCCAAGTACATCAAGGGCGGTTGTATAGATGTATCTGAGTATGATCGAGAAGATATGAAGTAAAAAAGAAATGTCATAGAGGTTAAGTTGGAAGACACATTAAGGCTTTGTTTGAGACAGCTTTTTTGCGGCTTCTTAAAGCAGCTTTCTAGTTCAATAATTAAAATTTTTGTACTAGAAAGCTACTTTAAAAAGCAATAAGGAAGCCGTCCCAAACGAAGCCTAGGATGGCTTTTTTATTACTTCTTGAAGCAGCTTTTAATTAAAAAATTTAATTTTTTATACTAAAAAGCTGCTTCAAGAAGCAGTAAAAAAGCCGTCCCAAACGAAGCCTTAATATCAACTGACAGAAGTTAGCATTTGGCTTAGAGTGGAGCAATTTAATAAATAAAAGGTTGAAGTGATTTATTATCAGGATAAAAGAAAGTTATTGCCATGAATGCCTTGGAAATAATAAAGTTTCAAATTAGACAGCAATGAGATGATCTATAAATGTAAATTTGAAAATAATGCTAGAGGTCAGAAATACTGAGGAAGAATAAAAATCATGGATTGAAAAAGTGTTAGCAAAGGAGAGCTACTGCAGGAGCATTTTTTAGGACTAGTTCGCAAGAATCTTAGATTATATGTAACAAATGATAGTATCATTGTTAGAGAGTCAAGAGTATGATAAGTAACAAATGGAAGCAGAAAGCATAAAAGCATCAGCTGATCAATCCTCCCAAATCTCATCAAATTCCAATCACCCCAATCTTAACCAAATCAAATTCCAATCACCACAATCTTAACCAATTTTGATGACAAAGCAAACTCAATTTCATTCATAATCATGTTTTGGTATTTTGTTCATAAATTACCATGTTATATCGATTTTTTACATATGAGTAGTCAATTGCCATCATCTCATTGAGATCTGCAGGTTTTCAAGAGAAAGCTTACCAAATTCTATCATCTAGATCTCCAAAATTCCACAAAAAATGAGATATCACTCAAAACCTTAACTATTCACCACCCATCCATGAATGCATTATTTTCCCACGCCTAAGACCGCCATTTACAGCATTCAAATACTTGGAAAGAACTCAGCGATCCTTTAGCCACACCCATAAAAAACCAAGATCTCTCTACCATCAACAGTCAACCCCTTTTATAAATATTTGAAGGCTTGGATGAAGCAGATTTGTAAGAAAGCAAACCCCTTAATATCAATATCTATAGAAAGAAAAAAAAAAACCATAATTGAGATTTGGCTAAATGTTGTAATAAATATTGGTTTAATTTGCAAACAAATCAGAACCAATTTTCATCTAAATAAATTTTTATTTGAAGATTCAGTTGGGGAACATATGTTTCATAAATAAATAATCTCTCATTTTAAGAGTAAGTACTCGATGTATAACTTGAGTGGATCAACTCTATGCGCACCTCCTCTTAATCAACCATAGGGATCAATTGAAGCATTGCAATACTTCAATTTATCAGCAAAAAATAAACTCGTTATACACATTCAACATAATCCTTGCTTTGCTATCATGCCTCTCCTCGATCTTGAAGAATCATTTGCTTGGAAGCCAGCGGAAATCCAAGGATCCACGGTAATCCAAGATGATAAACCAATAGATCCACAATGGCAATCCAAGGAGGTCTAGGTTTTCATGTGTGGAATTCCCCTGTGTGAAAAATTTTAACTATGATGTATATATTGTTTCCTTCCTTCACAAAATCAAGAATGTATATTAGTGTATGATTATTTATGTCTTTCTTAACATTTGATTAGGAGCATTGCATTATATTTCTTATAGTTACCTCCTCAAATAAATATGATAGAAGGGCAGTTTGGATATATGAGAAGAAAATACAAAAGGAATCGATTCCTACATTCTACATAATTTGTTCCACTTTTTTTTTCATAATGATATCAAAGCAGATTTTATTGTCTATTATGTTGTGTTATTGTTGTTTTTCTTTTGATTTATTCATTACCTCTGTCGAGCTATTTCTATTGATTTCTCCATTCACTTGAATTTTGCAGTTTGTTGGCTTGCTACTTTACCAAGATTTTTCTGGTACCTTCCTGTTATATCAGGAAAAATCTTTCTAATGTCTCACTGTATGCTAAGAACAACAACCTTTTTTTCACTATTTTTTCAGTTGCTCTTCATCTTGATAATCATCCTCTATTTTTCAGTATATATTTCAATCTTCATTATTGACCTCGAACCAAGATCTAGGGATCTTCTATGGGACTTTTTATCAATCTTTGTTAAAATCCAGTGGAAGATAAATATTATAGAGAGTCGCCTTAGATGGTTTGGCCACATAAAACGGCGACCTTCCGATGACCTAGTTAGGAGAGTAGATGTATTAGATTTGGCTTATGTTAAGAAAGGTAGAGGTAAACCTAAAAAGACTAGGTTAAAAAATATTAGAAATGACCTTTTCTTATAAGATTTAAATGAGAATTTGACTCTTAACAGAGCACAATGGAGAAAAATGATTCATGTAGACAATCCCACATAGTGGGATAAAAGCTTGATGATGATGTGTATCAACAACAAAGCAAGATACTCATTCTATCACAAACTAAAATATCCGAATGAATTTTTTTTGGCCTGAAATAGATCTCCGTGAAAAGATCAAGATGAAGTAAATTGCCATCATACTAAAGAAGTTTGCAAAAGAGTGAGATTGTTTGAATTCATGGCAATCTTTATACTTATTTTGATCATATTTGAATGCAATTGTTGGGAAAAGAGATATCATCTCTAGTTGAAAATTTTGCCTTAATTAATCTGGAGGAAAATAAGAGAAGTGTCATGCTTAGAGGTGCAACCGAGTCAAGCCGGCTAGCGAACCGACTCGGACTCAACTCGGTAAGTGGCTAGACGAGTCGAGCTTATCAAGTTAGCAAGTCGAGCTCGAACACAGTTTCGAGCTCGAAAGCTTGTCGAGCTTGAACAGGCGTTGGACTCGACTCGTCGGCTCGACGAGCAGCTCGACGGTAGAGCTAGCGGGCGGGAAATCCAAATCGCGAGCGGGAAATCGGAATCGCGAGCGGGACGATGACGGACGAGCTCGGATGACCCCTTCCAAAGACGGCAGATGTGACTACAAGCACTGGATGACGATGGACCTCTGCTCGACGGCGGACGACGGACCTCCGATCACTGCTCGACGACGGACGAGCTCTGGATGTCATTGATGACAGACCTCGGGATGATGAGCTCGACGACAAGGGACGAAACTTGGGACGACGGACTCGACTGTGGAGCTCGACGAGCCACTCGACTTGAAGATGAGTCGAGTTCGAGCTTGGATTTTGAACTCGACTCGAGTTTGAGCTCGAGCTTGGGTTTTGATAGTCGAACTCGACTCAAACACCCATTGGCTCAAGCTCGACTCAACTCGTTTGCACCCCTAGTCATGCTTGACTCCTTGGGCATACATGCCAAAGTCATAATTACTATAAAGTTCAAAGATGATGAGGGTAAAGAGGGAAATTTGATAGAAAGCAATAAATTGAAGAATACCAATATATTCAAGCATCAAGGAATATGGAAAACACGTTGCAAGAATACATGATATGAGAGAATTGCAAGCTTCATGGAAAAACCAATGGCATAGTCAAAATAGAGGATTTTGCTGACAAAATCAAGCCAGCTTAATTGATGATAATGGACTTTCTCATGATAAACCCAAGTCCCCTGCAAATGGAAGCCTTAAAAAAGAAGAAATTGACAAACTAGAAGACCATTTCCACTCCTTTACCTCAAAATATAGTGCTTGTTAAATAACTCTAGTAAGAACCATTTGTCTTATGCTTCTAGTGCCCCTAATTTCACCCTCAATAACTCTTGGATCATAGATAAAGAAGTTACTAATTATATGACTCAATAGTCCAATCAAATTCAAAACATATAACCACAACAACGACAACAACATCAAGTCTTTATCCCACTATATGGGGTCGGCTACATGAATCCTTTTTTCTCCATTGTATCATGTTAGGAGTTAAATTCTCATTTAAATCTAATAAAGAAAGATTATTTCTAATATTTTCTAAGTCTTTTTAGGTCTACCTCTACCTTTATTAACATAAGTCAAATCTAATACATCTACTTTTCTAACTAAGCCATCATAATGCTGTCATTTTATGTGACCAAACCATCTAAGGCGACTCTCTCTAATCTTATCTTCCACTAGAGCTACTCCAACCTTTTTCATATATATGTTCATTTCGTAACCTATCTCTAAGAGTAAAGCTACTCATCCACCTGAGCATCCTTATCTCCGCAATGCAACACTTAACTTAATATTATGCTTCTCTTTTAATGGCCAACATTTTGTACCATAAAGCATTGCAGGTCTAACCACCATGTTATAAAGTTTTCCCTTAAGTTTGAAGGGGACTTTTCTATCACACAATAAGCTTGTTGCATTCCTCCACTTCAACCATCCAACTTGAATTCTACTATAATATCCCCATCTATTTCATCATCACTCTGAACAATAGACCCAAGATATCGAAAACATGTATTCTTAATAATGACTTGATCACCCAAAGTCACAATCCCCCCTTGCGATCTATTATTACTAAAATTATACTCCATATTTTTAATTTTAGATCTACTCAAACGAAATCCTTTAGAATCTAAAGTTGACCTCCAAAATTCAAGTTTACCTTTAACTCCCTCTCTAGTCATATCAGTGACAAGAATATTATCAGCAAAAAGCATACACCAGTGTACAACCTCTTGTAAATGTCTAGTGAGAACATTCATGACTAAAGCAAAAAGATATGAGCTTAAGGTTGATCCTTGATGTAATCCAACTGAAATAGGAAAATACTTGGTCAAATCTCCTTGTGTTTGAACACAAGTAACAGCTCCTGCATACATATCCTTAATGACTTGAATATAAGCATTATTAACCCCTTTCTGAACTCTTCATAGTACTTCTCTTGGAACTTTATTATAAAATCAATAAATATCATATGTAAATCCTCCTTATTCTCTCTATACTTCTCCATCAAAC